GCTAGGAGAAATAGTTGTTTAAAGCTTCTTCAAGGGAGATTAGGATAGGCATTGACAAGAGCAACTCACCAGAACAACCCCCCTTTCTAATGGTAAGGGTTATAAGGTCTAGAGTAGATGGTCTAACTTACTGATCTTCAGGTGTGGCAATGTCATACTGCAAGGCTGACCTCTGAAATGTAGATATGGAAGTAGACCCTGCCTTGAGGCAATTGATGTCCTAAATAATCTCCCAAGTTCCTTTTTAGCCTCAATTTGGGGTTGGTGAGAATATGAAGAGTACAACATTTGGGTATTCCATGTTGAGCCCTGCTACTTCATGTTCAGTAGGGTCCTAATGGGAAATATTTTTTGCTCTCTGACAGTGATGTTTCTGTTCAGTGATAAATCTGATGTTAGAATCAGTAAGTGAAATGCATTTACACAGTGTGACTCCTACATAGGTACAGTCTGAGGAGACTTTGAGGGCTACTAGTATAAATAGAACTTTATTTTTATGATGAAAAGCTTTTGGCCCATGTTATTCAGAGACATTCAACAGTTATAAGTAGTCAATTTAATGTTAATATTAAAAGTAACACTTGAGTTGTGGAGAGAATAGTAGTTACACAGAGAAGGCAAGGGGAATGTCACTGCATCTCAGAAGAATACTACGAAAGTGGTGATGTGATTCTCTGTGTGGCACCTAGTTCCATAACAAGGAACACCTTGGCTGAGACGTAGACTAAGCTCATTTCACGTGTTCATATAGTTTCAAATGTCATCTGAAGAACCTAACCTGCTTTTGCAAGTAGAACAGTGTATGTGAACATCTGCTGATCCAGGGAAGATTTCACTGATATCCACAGCTGTATCTATTTGGAAGAGGGACTGTCGCAGTATGTTCCTGGGTTTGAATGAAGGAACCTGGCTTGGGTGAAGTGTCCAGGTGGAAGGAATTATGGAGAAGGACCTTTCTTTTGCCAGCTATTGCCCTTCACTTTCAAAACAGAATTAGTCAGGTATTTGTGAAAGAGAAGAAAACAAAGAAGACCAGATAGTGTTTTATAGTATTAGGATGTAGATGGTAGAGCTGCTTCACTGCTGACCAGCACCTTTTCTGACATGAGCCATCATCAACCCTTGCTGTTCTGTCATGGAATAGTTCCAGTGATATGGAATTGCTGGAAGGCCACCTGACAACTTGCCCGAAAACATTCGATCTCGTAATTAATTTGTTTACTACTAGGTGAAGTCAAAAAAGCTTTATAAGATTGAAAAAGAGTTTAGTTTCTGAAGTGCTTTTTAAGTTTTGAGGGCGTTTTGTTATGTGCTGGCTTGACTTGTTCCCCTGGTGACTGCTTTCTAGTATTTGACTAAGACTAATAGCAAAAACCATCATCTGGGAAAGAGAACATAAACTTCATTGTCTGGAGGTGAGGATTCAGTTTATTGCTTGCTGTACCATCATCTCATCAGTTCTTCTTTCTGAGTTAATTTAAACAATAATTTTGAATGAATGTGTTTGGGCTGAACATTTCTCCAGCAACCTCTAAAGGTATTTTATTTCTACTGGAGCATTTATTTTATGTTGTTTTATATGTATACTCTACACACAAGGATTTTTGTTTTCTGCAGAAGCACTGTTGGCTAATTTCTGGTGCAAAGATAAATCTCCTGTAGAACATCATCTGGCTGAGAATTGCCAAGGTTGTGACTCGCATTCATTTGTTGCTATGAAAAGAAAGTGCACACACATCCAGTGTTAATACTGCATTCACAGTATTTGCATTTTCATGGGAGAAGCGTCCTCACTTTCTCCAGAAATGCGGGTTGCTGTCCGTGATCCTCGGGATAAGGAGTGCTCTCTACACACATGCCCAGGTTCGCCCTGTGCTGCTGTTCAGCAAAGTCTGTGGCGACTGTGGTGCCTTCTGCCCTTCACAGCGAATTTTGTGCGCTCAGTAGGTAGGTCTCTAAGGCTTTGAAAGTTTTTGTGGTAATATGACACGGTGGATTTGTATGGGACTTTATGGACATATGAGAGCGCCCAGGCACTGTGTGTGTGTGTGTTTTTTTTTTTTTTTCTTCTTTAGTGTCAAAGATAATTTACTTTCAGAGATGTTCAAAGATTGTATATAACATGTTGGGTTTGTATATCTGCTCTTCAAAGAAGTTTTCATGCACTCTTTGCAGCGCAGGAGAACAGACTTTGGTGGTAGTTTGTTTTAGTTAAGCCCTGAATTCTGCTGATGAGCTCTCATTCGAAGCTGAAAGGAGCAGACCTAATCTAACCAGCAGCTGTATTTTCTTTGTCTATGAAGTTTTGAAATATCATTCATAAAATGGTGTCACACTGGCAAGCTGCACAAATATTTCAAATTTAAAGTTAGGTAGTTATTTACTTATAATTCAACTCTTCTGATAAAAATGCAAGGGCATTAGAGAACGTCTCAGTCTGTAGTGGATCTGTCTGCCAAGTTTCTTGAAGAAATATTTAAGCCTTGATTGCTGCCAGTTAAAATCACATATGTGAAAGTTATTGTAGCGTCGGTTAAATACAGGAGCCATGTGTATCTTTTCTCTGCGTGGTGGGAAAAAGTGTTCAGAAATAAACCTGAGGATTGAGAAGGAGACCTGATACTGTTTGCAACTTAGCTTGGCTTAGCCAAGGAAGAGGAGAGGCCATTAGCATTCCGCTTATGCTGCTGAAGGTTATTTGTACAAGAAACCCTAAAGTATATGCAGATATTCCAAAAGCTCAGAAAAACAGAGGACATACTTTGAAACAGCACGTATGATGTCCAAGGCCGCTGATATTGGTAGCTGTGAGCTTTTGGCTTCTGCAGAAACAAGGCAATGGGAAGAACAAGGTTTCTTCATAAAGGACATTAAGCGTAAAATGTAAGTGCAGGTAAAGCGTCTTTTGTCCTCGTCATGAAGAAGTGTTGTGCAGCAGTGTAATTTTTTTTATAATTCAGAAAAGATTGATGCCCAACGAGCTGTGCGGCGTGCTCGCTCCCGGTCCGCGTTCGGCGGCGGGGCGGCAGCACGGGGCTGCGTGCGGAGCCTCGCCGTGCCCGGCAGCCGCGCGCGACGCGGTGCCCGGGCGTGCGGCTGCACGAGAGGTTTGGCAACGTGCTGGGAAGCGGCTGTCTGCTTTGGAGTGTGACATGAGGCAATGTTTATCCTGCTCCATTTCTCCGTTCTCCAAGCAAGGGGCAAGTTGCCAAGCACAGGGCCTGAATGGTTTGGAGCTTTAGCTGGAAACATTTTGCTTACACTCGGGTAAATGAGATGTGCAGAGACCTCAGGAAATCTGGAAGTCGTCCTCTGTTTGTAAGATATTTTGCTTAGGAGAAATGTAATCTAGAGTGCTCATTCCATGCATACATCTTTTTCTCTCCTTTTCTGTAAACCTCAGCCTTATTTCTGTCTGCACTGCCCCTTTCTAAAGAGGAGCTGCCAAAGTTGATTTACTAAAAGCCACAATTTTCCTGAGACAAAGACACACAGATACAGAGTTTCCGCGTTTCCCCCATTTCCAGGGGAGTCATGACAGGCTTGAAGATCCATTTACAATAGCTGTTGAAATAAATATGTACTTCCAGATACACAGTAAATACAAGCTTAGCTGTTACTACTGGCTAGTTGGTGAGGGAGCCTTATGAAGAAATGAAGATCCTGTTCACATGTCCAAAAAGCCAAGCTAAGGGAGTGCAGTTGCTGCTCTGGCAGCTCCAGCACTCAGTAATAAGGCCTCAGCCTCCCAAGGCTCATTTTGAAACAGCTCTAAAGTGTCAGCTCTTTTTTATTTACCTTCTGGTTTCTATGCAGTTTCCCTTTCAAGCTGCTCTCCAGTGGCGAGGGCTGCTTCAAAATGAAATTCTTGCGGGTCTGCTCCATCAAGATCATCTCTGTTTTTAAAAATGCTGCATATTAAGGCTTAATGTTAACATATTCTATCATTCACAGCATTCAAATTTTTTCCTGCCTGTCTAGTTCAGGTGAATATTAATTAATGAAACAAAACCTGGGAGGTTTCAGCTGTCTGGTGATAGACTATTCCGTGGTGGGGTCGGGCTTCTCAGGTGATTATTAATCCCAGATTTAGCACTGTGCTGTGCCTCTCATGTTGGCTCTGGGATTTTAAAACCCTTTTTCACTTCCAGCTAGCGTAGAGTATAAGCTCCTTGGAGCAGGAGCTGCATGCAGTTCCCGCAGTGCCAAGTAAATCAGAGGAAATCTTTTTGGCCTATAGCTTTTATCATAAGTAATAATGCAGAGCGCTTTTATTTAATGGTTTCTATGGTTTTCTTGAAGAGTTAAGTACCTTGAATAAGCATGTGAGCCTTTCTGAGAGAACATTTCCTTCCCCCATCAAAGAGAGCTGGGAATGGAAAAGTTAGGGGAGAAATCGGGAAACCTCAGGAATATTTTTTTGCTTGGAATGTATAATGAGACTCTCCACAGAGCTCTGAACACTGCACTCCGGTGGATGCCTTGGAATCACTTTCTGCGTAAGCTAATATTATGCTGCTAAGTAGTGTTGCTAATTTAAAAGCTAAAAGCATTGAAGCTCGCCGTTTCTATTTAGCATTATCTCTTAGAATCATGCTTGGTAATAGAGTATGTCAAATAGCATAGGTATGCAGATACACAGGCCGCTGATATTTTTTAAAATGTTTCATGAAAATCATGATTTCTTTTGGATCCACATAAGAACCTATTGTTGTAATGAAGGTGAACAGTTTTAGTTTACAGGTTAAAAAAAGATATGGATGTTCTGTTTATAAATTCAACATTCTTGTGTTTGGACAAGAAAACATTTTATTGTCCAAAATGTAATCATCTTCCCATGTAGTTAGTGTAAATCAGTTGTCAATGTTAGCCATATAGCCATCATTTTTCAGAACTAATATATCCTCAGTGGTCTCTGCAATGAATCCAGAGTGAGACCGAGTTTTTAAACGAACAGTTTCAGGAGCTAAAGTTGTTCCCTTCTTCTCTTTTTCCTGCAGTACTTGGGACATGTTGAAGTGGATGAATCCAGAGGAATGCATATCTGTGAAGAGGCTGTGAAGAGACTGAAATCTGTATGTATATTTGTTTCACGAAAAAGAGGTTGGCTTTGGGGCTGCCAGTGTCACTCCCAAAGGCCTGTTTGGCAGCAGCGTCCCCGTTAAAGCCTGAACCTTTGACCCGCGCTAGGAGAACAGTTGGCGATTTCAGCGCTGCTGTTGTAGGGGGACGTGCAGATCTGACCATGAGAGGGAGAGAGTTACAACTGCTCTTTCTACTTGCAGAAACTATTTGCAAAACAAATGTGTAAAAAATCCTCTGTGACCTTTCAGACTAAGTTGGTACCCATATGGGGCTTCAACCGTTGTTTTTTAACAATTCTTTCTCTCTCTCTCTCCCTCTTTTTTTCTCTCTCTCCCTCTGTTGCCTGCCACTTTAATAGTGACTTAATTCACCTTTATTAGAGAAAGCATTACGTGATTATTACTTGATTTAAACTGCTTTTCTTCTAATGCACTGCAGCATTGTCTTCATGCATGAAATAATCCAGCTTGCATCTGCTCCAAGTGGCCTGGAGGCTGCCTAATTCTGACGTGTCATGAAGTGAGCTGCTCTTAGTTTGGCTTCTGTGAACGTTTGTTCTTGCAAATGGCACTTGTTCCAAGTTCTTTGTGCTTCTACAACTCACTTGAAGAGGCCTTGTCATCTCTTTCCTCTAGTATTATTATCGCAAAGTCCTGTGGAAATAGCAAATGCTAAACAGTCAGTGGTCAATCTGTCGAGGAACTGAGACTGAAACAGCCTTGAAGAGAACAGAAGGAAAAAGACATTAAAATGTGAAGGCTGAAGGGTGGTACAGCACTGCAACCCTTTTCATCACTTCTCTTATTTGTCTTGGCTCTGTACCTTTTATTAGTGATGCCTTTAGCAGAAGAAACTCTTGTATCCTTGTAGCTCAGCAAAATTACTGTAAAGTAAATCAAACACTTTTACTGCATCTTTGCTAACTTAAGATGTCTGCTACTGGACCCTATTTTTTTCCTCCCCAAATGTGACAGCTCAAATGGTTTCCAACTGAACCCTTTGTCTTTTCTTCTTCCTAGCACACAATAGAGGATTATAGGTTATCTTTTCTTCCTCCTGTTGTGCTGTAAAGTTTCTGAATTGGTTTAGTGTTCTGATTAAAATCAAGTCTTTTCATTCTTTTCTCTCTCAGCCAATGTATAGCAACCTGTTAAAGCTACATCCCATCTGTTCCCATTCAATCCAACAGTGATTGGTGATTAATTTTGTTTAAAAGGGCCACAAAAATATAAATGAGTTTCTTTGTTCTATGGATTTAGTTTATATAGCTAAAATTGCAAGTACTGGCCACATAATGAACGGCATCCATCTTTTGTCTGGTTCTGTTCTGCTCTTTGTTGTACTAAAGTATTTTCTGTTAGCACACTAAATAGCGTGGCACTCTCTACCTTGTGTAATTTCTCTCATTCTTTTTCCTGGGGAGCTATGCTGTGAACTATTTGTTCTCTGATGTTTTATAAACTTTAAGCCCACCAGCCATGTAAATGTAGCTAAGCTTGTAAAAAAAAAAAAAAAAAAAAAGGCACAGTTAAAGTTTAACACACAGTTTCTTTTGGAATCTGGATGACTCCAGGATTGTGATTCTAAGTCAACTTGGTTTACACGTCATATACCTACCTTTCAGTTTAGATTATGCTTCTACACCGTGACTCTGCTTTCTTCGCATAGAGAAATGAAATCATTTAATTCCTCTATTCTGTGCTCCATGATTATTCCAAAGTGTGGATGGCAGCAACTGACCAAGTCCTGTTGATTCCTTCAGATGTTTGAAGTTTTGAATGTTTATAAATAAATTGGACACTAGCACAGGATCTCTCTCAGTTTTGGAGGCAGAGGCGCAGATGTAAACTTCTCTTCTCCTAGTAAAAGACCCAGATTGCTGAGATGACTTTGTTCATTTTAGTGGCGAGACTCCCATCAGATCTAAGCTTCATTCAGAGCTGCCCACTGCAGTTCAACCCCCGTCCCCCAGCACCTAGGTTTTACTTTTGGAGGCATTTCTTTGGATCTTAAGCACTGCTAGGGCTCTAGCTCCTTACTTTTCTGTGCTGTCTTCTCTTAGGTAGCCAAGTCATGCTACTAGGTGACATTTCAGCATGCAGGGAATGTAATAAGACTCCAGCTTTCCCTTAGGTAGTCTCTTGCTTGTACAGTGCTGATGGCCTTTCTCTTGGTCTTGCAAAAATTGCAAGTTTGAGCTGCAGCCCTTAAACTAGGTTAAGGAAGTTGGACTTTATTCTTCAGATGGTTAAAGTACATCCAAATGTACACGGCCTATTCTGATCTTTATCATTGTCTTTATGAAGATTTTATAAATCCAGTCAACAGAATAATAGTTCTTTTATCCTGAAGACAGGATTGATGATATGTTTGGGTCTTGTAGCTTCTAAAAATTAAGTCCTGTCTGTCTTTATTTTAATAGATATATTTCCTCTAGTTCTTGTTCTCCAACAGTTGTCACTTCAAATCTCTTTGTTTTGTTTAGGATTGACTAATGGATTTTAATTTCTTTTCAAGGGATTTGCCAAGAAAATTATAACACAGTATTAATATTGTTAGGAACAACTTCTGCTTTGCTTTTTTTAGAGAGAAGCAAACAAATCTTTCCATCTCTTTAACATGGGAAATATCTTTTCCTTTTTTTTTTTTTTCTCTATTACAAGCTCTTTTGAAGTGGCACAATTATCTTTTGAACAAGACAAGCTCTGCAACTTGCAGAGCTTGAATTCAGGTGATGGTAAGCATTTTGTTCTGGTAGTGTTTAACTGATAACTACAGCAAGAGTTCGTTTTTAGCTAAAGAATCCTCATTCATGATGTATTCCATATTCCTTTTCACACGTACAGTACAGCATTAATAGGTCAGAAACCTCTGTATTCAGCTACCACCTTCTATGGGTTTATTCTTGACCAATATAGTTCACAATACAATTTTTTTAGTAAGATATATTAACTGTATGTACATTTTAGATCTGATACACTTGGACAGTAAGCAGCTTTTTCACCAAAACTATTTAACTGAATTAAAAATATATAGTGCAGACTGCAGCCTGCCTTTGTAAGGGCCTTGTAATGTAGCCTTGTGAATACATTTGACTTAACTACTGGGAAGTAGTATAAAGACAAAAGTACACTCTCTCATGTCATGTTTTGATTTTAAATCTGCTTTAGTATGTAGTATTGGTTTCTAACTTGCCATTTTTTGTTTTAAATGATGCATTTGTTTTAATATATGTTCTTGTTTTAGCAGGTAAAGAAACATAATTTAATATCTTTAAACATATGTTAGTTATTTCTAAACTACATTAACATAGTGTTGTTTAAAATCCATTTTGCATGATGTCTTTTCCATTAACCTTTTCTGGTTTATTAAAAAATAAATAATCTTGTTTAACAAGCATTTTGCTGAGAGCAAAATTAACCATCATCTAAAAATGAGGGAGCTTCTGGTGAATCTCTTTAGCTTTTGCTATCTTTAAAAAGCTTTTATTTAGTGTAATGCAATAGTCATTGCTCAACTTGGCAGCAGCACCCAACCCCTTCTCATTATGTACACGACACTGTGATTAATCCATTAGTTCCCCCTCTAGTACTCAGTGCATCCTGTCCAAATATATGACCGTTCTTGCTTCTAAATGTCTTTAATGCTTTCAGCTGACTAAAGTTAGAGATGGTCTTAACCAGTGTGTGGCCTAACACAAGTATACCATGGTATACTTTAAAAATGCTCTGTGGGAAGACACTGGCCAGAGACGGACAGCAACAAAAGTCAGGAAATGCAGAGTTCAGATGGACACTCCCCTCCTAACTTTGTGTTTCCTGGCTTTGGGTGGCTTGTGTCAGAACTGCAGCTTTGTTTAAAATATGACCTTTTTTATCAGTTGGTTCTTGAGATGCGCTCTCGGATTATTTGTACCAATATTTTTAATACATTATCATTTAACAGTGATCATCATGACAGAATTTCATGCTGATAATTTGGTGTCAGGAAGTTCCCCCTGTCACACGGAATTCCCCAGCTGTGCCTTACTTCTCCAGTTAGTGCCATACGAAGGTGGCTGTTTGGGAAGATCCAGAAGCAGCGATAGGGTTCCCAGCTCCCTTCCCTCAGACACTGAGCCGCTTTTAGCGGTGCACGGAGAGCACCACGCCGTGAGATCTCTCCCATGAGATCAGCTCAGACAGATCTTGCAGTTTTCTATTTACCATCTGGTAACAAAATGAAGCTGGTTAGCTGAACTGCATGCAAATGCTCTTAAAATTGTGTTGCCTTTTTTTTTTTTTTCTTTTACTGTGAATATGCGCAATCAGTATAATCGTTTCCAGCCTGCAGAGATGTAGGAAATTCTAGTTCAGTTCTGTGAGTTGGCTTAACTTCTTCTGCTGAGAGCTGACTTCAAAGAGGTCTTTTTCTACGTATAAATCCAGAGTGCTGCAATGAATACCTAGCATTTGTATCAAGGTGCAGTCTTGAAAGGGACTGAGGGAAAATGAAAGAGGAAGGGATCTCCTTTGTGTCTTGGTTATATCACTTTCACGATAAGAAATTTGTCATACTTCAGAGAAGACTGTATAAGATGCTAAGAACAGTTTGCAAACAAAAACCCAATAATAAAATGGAATAAAGTGAAGCACAAAAATGCTTTTTCAATGTTTAATCTTATATTATGCCAGTAATCATAGATTCTGCTTCAGTTTACAAGGCTTTTGTCCTGGCAAAGTCTGATCTGTGCAAAGCAAGCTTAACTGTGATCCAAGAGTTAAACTTTGGCTTTCACAGCGGCTGCCGCAGTACAGTGTTTTAACTGTTTAGCCATCATGTCTGCTGCCAAGTTTGGTTTATAACTTAACTAAAGAGCACTAAACAAGTGAGAGTGAAAACAAAGTAACCGCTTTGCATGAAGTTGGGGCTGAGGTTCTCTTCTTTCCACCGATTTCAGAGCAGTTTGCCTATTAGAATTCTGTGTGTGCCCTCTTCTCTGCATTTTCATGGGATTATTTTCACATTTGCCTGTCGCACCTTCTTTTGGATAACTCTAAACACCCCTTCCTTTCCCTCCAAACCCTATTCTTGTGTGTGCTTGTTGGTTTGAAACCCTGGGACATTTTAGCTACCTACAGTAATAGCGCTCGACTTGTCCCCCCTGTTCCTCCAGGAAAGGAAGTTCTTCAAAGGCTTCTTTGGAAAAGTAAGTTTAATGCCTCGTTTGTGCTTGCACTATAAGGAGTTACATCCCTGGTATAGCACTGCCATAACACCTGAGTATTGAGAATCCCTTTATCCATTTCAGAATATTTGCTGCTATAACAGTCTTGGAAATATGTTGATCAAGTAGAGAATATGGTTAAAAGAGCAACTTGAAACAGAAACCACAAAACCATATGGGCCGTATCAGAAAACTGTGTTTTGAAATTATTTGATCCTCCCGAAAAAATGGGAATTTCCCTTTCCATCCCTTAAACTTGTGCCAGCCTAGGTCACCTAGGCAAACGCGCGCAGAGCGGTCGGGGTCTGTGTCTTGCAGCCTCTCCACGGCTGGCTGCCTTTCACCACAAACATAAAGCCGTGTTAGTGCAGGAAGAAAACGTGGGGCTGCGCGTGCAGCCTCCTACACCTTTCTTTCCTGAACACAGTCCTGCTCAGAGATCTTTGAGACCAGGCATTTACAGTCTACTTGTTCTTCTAATTACTTCCCAGCGATCTGGCTGGAAAACTTGCTGCTTCCAGCATCTCCTGCTCCTTGCACGAGGCTGCTTAGATGGGAGCCAGTCTCCTTCCGTGACTACGAGGGAAGCAACTCTGTCCACGCTGTGAATGTCCATCCTGGAGGCTGGGGTTTTGTTGCTGCTCTCGCCGTGGCTGTGAGGCCATGTGTGTAAGACACTAAATGAGCTCTCCTTTTTCCCATCAGCTGTTCCTTTCCCCGGCTGGGTTTGAAAAGATCTTTTATTATTATTATCATTATTATTTTACTTAGCTTTCAAGTGGAATAAATCTAAGGATCTGCTTTTGAAATATCTTCTCAACATAATCTTGGCTTAAATAGAAACTAAGAGGTTTGTAACACTTTTAAGAGGCTGAAAGCTAACAGAGGTTTTTGTTTTAATATATTTTATTTGCTGCTTACATATGGAAAGCTTTTGAGGCAGATTATTTTCTGGTCACAGATTGTTTTGGCTTTGCTGGGGAGCGAGAGAAGTTTTTCAGGGCTCCTTTTTTGCCTTTGGAGCTCTGAGGTCATGGTGCAGGTCGCAGAGAAGAGCTCTGCCCCAGGCCAGGTTTCTTCCTGGGATCTGGGAAAATGCACTTCCGTGAGTGGTGTGAACAGCAAGGGGAAAAGCACCAATCTATTTAAGGTCGAAATAGTTAAAACTCTGTCTTTGACATTATTTTTTTCTGGAACTATCTATTGAGTATGCCAACTTGCCTATTATATCTTAGTTTGTTTTGGTTTTTGTTTGTTTTAGACCAGTAGTTTGCCATTGCATGTAGATTGCTTTGCCTTTTATTATAATACCTTGTCAAAAAAGGGCTTGCTTCTGCTTGAGCCTCTGAAGCTGCATTTGTTAGCGCTGGAGCCCCTTAAAGGCAGTGTTAGGCATCCCCACAGTCTGATAGTGCTGTTATTACGACTTGCAATAGGGAGGAAGAACAGCAATTTCATCATTCTCCCTTTTCACTATCTCATCTGTATTTTCTCCACAAATGCGTTGCATTGGGATTAATATACACAGCATAGCTTAAAATTTGATACCAGCTTTTAAAAAGTCCATCAGAGCAGGTTGGTTTCTTTGAGTGTCTGTCTTACCCCAACAAAAGGTAAATGTGATTTGTGTCAGGAAACATTTGTGTTTAGTCAGGTACCTGACATTGAAAATTTTTTTTTTTTTAGCTTTAGATATTATGTCCTTTGGTAGCCATAGATTAAGTTTAGGCAGTTTAATTTTGGGTAACCTCTGAAACATCACTGTTATCAACTTCATTTTTAGGCGGTTCTCATAATTTAAAGCTTCTTTTTGTTGCTGTAATTAACAGGAGTGCAGAGGTGGTGACCTTTTGCATGTTTATTCCCTCCAAGCACAGAGGTTTCTCCACACGCAATGTTTTATACAGAGACTGGAATAAGACATTAGTGTTTTACATGCATCTTGCAGCAGTTTCAAGTCCCAAAATGGAGTAAAATAGGTAGATACTGAGAAGTTTGCGATCACCAGAAAGAGCAGAAACAATTTAAAACTGTCACGAGCGAAGCGCATGGTGCCAGCTCTGTTTCGGTCTCCCTTCAGCTCTTTCCCACCTGCCTGTAGCGCCGCTGCCTCCCTCCCCAGCGCGGCAGCCCCTGTGGTTAAGCTGTCGCGGGTGGCGGGTTGCGGTTCCCTGGCTCTGCTGGTGCTCAGCTTCCCTCCTGCCTGACCCCAGCTCCCGCTGCCTTTTTGGGACCCCCCCAGCGAGCTGCAGGGGTTCGTGGTGCCTTGGAAAATGATCAAAATAGCAAATTTCTGTAGCGGAGTGGGCTCAGGTCCTGCTGCAAAGGGAGGTCGCTCCTGCTGCTGACTCAGTGCTGCCAAATGAGACTGAGCGCCGCGAGCGGCTCTGCCGTCTGAGGGCTCTGGGCTCTGGAGAAAAACTCCCGATGCAGCTTCTCCTGATGCAGGTCTCTGTGAGCCTCCTGGGAGTGAAATGTGACTTTGATCCAGTGCATATTGTCTGTGTGCTCTAAGTACTGCTATTTCTAGTCACATCTGTGTTTCAGTGCTGGTGACTGGGCTCTGGCACAATTTTGTCATTTTGCAATAAGCAGCTGTCCTCTGTTGTGTGCTGGAGTCCGCTTCCCACGTGGTATCCTGCATCCAGGCTGGCCTTTGTCCCATCTGGGTCACGAGTGAAAACGCTCCTGTCTGCTTTTAATCATGATATACTTGGCAATATCCCACCTGTAACAGAGCAGCGCTTTGATTTCTGTAACTGATACAAAGCGATCCCAGCAAGGATGTGCTTCTAGACATCAACAGCCGGCAGGGGCAGCCTGGGACTCGGGAGAGGCAGCGATAGCTGCAGCTGGGAGGTACAGACCGTGCAGGTGTCGTGTCAGCTCCGGGCCTTGCATCCGCCAGCAAAGGAGATGCCCTGGGAAAGAAAGGCGAGTTCTGTTCTTCCCTCAGCGTAGATAAGCTGTGCCTGGAGCCTACCGCGTGCGGTGGGAGAAGGGCTGCGATGCCCCCCCAGCCTTTCCACTGTGTTCGAGACGTGTGGGAGGAAGGTCCGTGTCCCAGCGTCCCCTCCACCCGCACGCAGCAACACCGCAGCCGAGCCCCGCGCTGCTGCAGGAGGCGCCAGTCGAGCTCGGCGGAAGCGCTTGCGGCTCCAGGCTTCAGAAACAAGGGGTTTGCTGTTTGCTGGCAAGAGCTTTTTCTCCGTTTGTTTTCTCTGCTTTTAGAGTGTTAGGGCACTCTAAACCCCAGCAGTTCCCCCCAGGCCTTCTCTTCTTTTGATTGTTTGTATTTGCTGGAAATAAAGATGTTAAGACTATTAATGATTTATAAGAAACAGCTACTCCTTTTTAAAACCATTAAGGAGGCAAAGCATCTGTTGTCAGGATTAGTGGGGACGTTTAAGCCCTGCAAGCTGGATGAGCGCTGAGACCGGTGTTCTGCAGCCATCTATGTGTGCTGCCTTCAAAGACTAAAAGTCACCAAAAGTGACTTCTAATTGACTCAGTACTTTTAGTATGGCAGTTGTAGACACATCTTCCTTTGTGAATAGCGCTCATTTCATTAAGGCTTCCAAAATCTGTCAGTCTTCCTTTAGACCTTCCCCGGGACACTGAGCAGGTTGGGCGCTTGCAAGCTTGCTCCTGCAGGCCCCGCTCTGAGGCCTGCTTTCCTGCTGTGCTCGTTTGCTCTCTTCTAATCACTCTTCTGCACAGCTCAGCGCCGCTCTCCCTTCTCACCCGGTTGTCACTGCCACCCCAGGAATGGGGTCAGATAGTTTTCCTCCCTCCTTTCCTTCACCAAATCAAACAAAAGTTCTGCTAGGCTGGTTTTCTTCACACTTTCTACTTACTCTGATAATGAAACCAATATGATACAACAGAAGACTCGGCACTCTAAGATAGAAAAAAAAATCAGACTTACAAAGTTAAAATTGGTGTTGTGAGCATGGAGCATGCAGTAGCTTATATCAGAATGTGCCTGTGCTCCATTACTTGTCATATGAATAGACATTATAAATATCTGCAATGAGCTTGTTACAAAAAATGTGATTCTTGCACAAAACTGCTGTCACTGCTCTTTTTTATTTGCTGCTCTCCTCCCTCCCTGCCATGGCCCATGGCAGGTGCAGTGAGCAGCCACACACAAGGTCGACTTGGTGCATTGAAAAAATTTGGGGAGGACAGTTTATTACCTGGCTTAGAGGTGAAAGAGTAGGGCAGGGGAGTTGTTGATCACAGCAAAGCATTATAAAACAGTGAGGATTTTTTTCTAGAAGTAGCTCTCTGTAACAAGCAATAAAATTACGTGGACATATACCTATTTTCTCCTCCATGAATTTGTTTCCAAAGCAAGTTGTCTCGCATGTTTATACTGTGTTTTGCAACTTTCCCTTACACAGTAAACAGTCCAGAAGAGAATCCACAGCCTGAGCAGCGCTTGAAGCCTTTCACTGTTTTCCACTTTTGCTTTTAGTCTTGGCTTGTGGCAGCTGAAAGTTCCCACAGTCGGAGCTTGGAAAATAGCCAGAAAGCTTCCCTGTTTCTTCAGCCTGCTGCACACAACTGAGTTTTAAAGTTACACATCCAATGGATAATAAGCCACAAATTTCCATCTCTCTTGAAATTCGTGTCACGTTCAGCTCTTAGTAAATTTGAACTTGGGTGGTTGGTCTTAGCGTTACTTTCATAGCCCAACAAGTGACAATTTTAGGAGTGTTTTTAACACTGGTTTAAGGTGATGCTATGATTCTGCCATGCAGCTATAGGCGCAGAGGGTAGGGCTGATGGAAATACCAGGTAAGAATATTCCCTGTTTAAAGTTGTGCTCCAGAAGCTACCTGTGGTGTAACTCCTTATGAATTAGTGTTACCTGACTCTATTCAGTGGAATTCCTCACCCACTTGGTCAGTCTCGAATCCTCTCCTTTCGATGAGTGTAAATAAATCCTGGTTTTGGCTCCACCTGTGTGTGCCCTACCCCCATCCCATTAGTGTGTGCTCTTCTGAAATCCTGCCTTGGGCTTGGTCCTCTGAATGTTTGGCAACTCGGATCGAGCTTCTGGCTTTGGGCACCTTCCTGAACATGGACTTCATCTACACTTAATGCTGTGCTTCTTGGAAAGGGGAAACGGGTGGCAGTCTTATACCGTTGGCGTAAAGCTGGTTTTTCTTTCTTTTTTTCCTTTTCTGCAAGACTGGAAAGAAGGCGGTTAAAGCAGTGCTGTGGGTTTCGGCGGATGGACTCCGAGTGGTAGATGAGAAAACAAAGGTTAGATTTCCTTTTACAACAGTTCTAAATCTCTATGTAATAATGTATGTGCTACACCAGTAAATGGATACTGATCTTTATCGTAACACAAATAATGGTGTTGGAAAGAAAGATAAAAGTATATAGGCAATTTTACCATTTCTTGTTCAGTAAACATATATATGCCTGTTAATTTTTTCACAGCTAACTGCATAGTGCTGTCAAGCCATGTTCAATAAAGGTGTGATAGGGAGCGTGAGCTTGGAATCACACGTGTGCTGTGTCTGCCAGGGGAATCATCTTTTCTGGATGACTTCTGATGTCTAACACAGAGCCTCTGACTCCCTTCCCTGCCCCCATGGAAGGCTGCAGAAGTAGCACCCGGGAAAATTGGTGCTACACAATATGATCTTCCTTGTATCTATGTTCTAGAAGAGTGGGCTCAAATGAAGAACTGACTTCCACAAATGCAATAAAGAGAATAAATTAAATAGGATTGTGCCTCCACTAAACAGCTTAAACTCCCTTCAGTCTGGAGATAAGTAGTAACTGGGTTATAGAATTACCACATTCTGTAATAATTTGTAACAATAATACCTAAACTACTGGTCTGAAGTGGAAAACTAATATATTCATTGGCTCTTTCTGAAATGTGCTTTATATATTTTATTATGAAATAACCCAGTGTGTAGCACAAAGGGGCCTGTGCATGAGTAACAGCAAATCATTCTTGGTTTTAATTACACGCAGGCAATTCGGAGTAGTAGCTTTAGGCTTGCCCCGTAAGCTTACTAGTATTTTACATGGTGACACACAGCTATCAGAGCAATTATTCCCTCACTATTCTGAAATGAATTGATTTCATATTCATGTCATTTAACACTTCATGAACATAAAAGATGATTTTGGCAAGCCAAAGCTGATGAGCAGATAAGGGGTAATTCATGTCCCTCTGTAACACTACTACTGGTCCAATGCCTGCTCTTTGCATAGAGCCCCAGGGCTGTTTTTATGTGATGTTTTATGGCACTAAAATTACTGTCTTTAGAGAATTTAGTCTCTAATGCAAATATATTGACGCAGGTGGATTCTGTGTAGTGATTTGTTTCTGTTGTATTTAAACACATGCATTTTTAGAAGCGTTGCTGCAGGTACCTGATGACGAAGGGTCTTTCTGTACGTGGGGCCGGCCTCGCGCGCCCAGCTGACCAGGGCGCCCTGCGCGGCCTCCTGGCGCCTGCGCCCGCTGCAACCCCCTCCCAGCACCAAGTGGGGTCAGGGCCCTTCTGCGAGGAGACAGCGCGGCCTTCCCGCCGCCCCGGCCCCGCTCCAACGGCCACCAGAGCCACTGTTAGAAGAAAAGTCCCTCTTTTGCCTGTGCTAGCTCTGTGTCCCGAGGTGCAATCCCTGACCTTGGCCCTGTCCATGGTTTGTGCCCTGGTGGTCCTGTCAAAACAGACGGGCAGGAAAATGTTACTTGCTCTCTCTTGTTTGGTACTGGGAGAGTTTCTGTTCTGAGCTCGTTTGACACAGAACTGTAGTCAGGCCGGGTTTGCTTCTCTGTGATAAAACTCGTCTTGCAGTTATTGCTGAAAATGCCTTCTGTAAGTGTTTCTCCACACTTCTTCATATTTCTTCTGTTGTGGGGGGGGATTTTGTTTTCCTCTAGGACCTTATAGTTGATCAGACAATAGAGAAGGTTTCTTTCTGTGCACCAGACAGAAACTTCGACAGGGCCTTCTCCTATATCTGCCGAGATGGCACCACGAGGCGCTGGATCTGCCACTGCTTCATGGCCGTGAAGGACACGGTAAGTAACAGCAGCGGGTGTCCCGCTCCTCCTGCTTCTGGTTGGAAGTTGCACTTGGGAGGTCTAACCGCAAAATGCTGCGATACAGTCTGACTGCAGATAAAATGTTACTTGGGCCTTGAAAAATGCTGTGCTTCTAATTCTTTGTGTCTGAGTTATTTGCCATCCCTCTGTGCTGTCACCTGGCGGAGAGAATCGGTGCGTGACGCGGTGTGTAAATGGAGTGCAATCAGCCTCAGATATCTCTAGCAGAAGGGGACTACTCTCCTAAAAATAGACAGAAGATACTCCCGTCTGAAAATGCATACAGCCAAAAACTGAAACAGCAGTGACAATTTTTCCAGGATAAAAATCATAGTGAGTAAATAGACTTAAAAATGCAGCCTCTTGTATGCAAATGTTATCATGAAGGGAAAGCCTTTTGAAAACTAAGGGATGGAGCTGGAATGAGTTGAACTGTGATCCCATTTGCTTCTCAAGTGGTGAGAGAGCTTTTGCCAGTGGAAGGCTTCAAATAGGTTACTTTCTTCACTCACTTGCTGTGTAGCCTTAGATAACTCCTTCAGCTCCCTGATCTCCTTATGAGAGTCTCTTGAGTCTTCTCTTGAGTCTCACCCAAGTGCTGGAAACCTTCTCGTAGTAAGCAGTGTAGAAAATTATGCTGAACATGCAGATTTAGAGAGTAAACTCAGAATAGCTGCGTGTTCAGAGCAATTATCTTTGGCAATTTATTATTTCTCTTCAAAAAGAAACAGTGAAGTTGGAACTTCCCAGTCAGTTAGCAAACACAGTAGATGGGCTTGGCCACTGACTCGGCAGCAGCCTCCGTATCAGCCGGGCTTCCAGACTTCCTCCAGCTTCAATTTCATTCCATCATGGCAGTTATAGGATAGTGCCTCCTTTCGACCTCACCGATTAATACAAGTGCCTTTGGGAAGGCCGAGAAGCCTTTTGTGCAGAGCTCTGATGAGCACAGCTGCAGTAGACCTGAGTCATGGGGATCTCTCATATCCCTTTTGGGGACTGCTGGGTCTTCCGTCTTCTGAATGGGAAACAGAAAAACAAGCGGAAGCGGCGTGTACTATACACCCTATTATTATATCTATCAGTATAATAAATATTTATTTTTACATGTGAAAGGACACTGTTGCACTCAGAGATTTTTGTTGCTAAGTGAGTCGGGCTTGTTCTGAGGCCCATTTTAAAGCCTATTGTAAGAACACAGTGAGCATATGTTTCTCAGAAAGGCACTCTTAGCGCTTGTTTGTGCATTTAGTCAGGGCCATTAGAGGTAGGAGCAGTCATAGTCGTCCTCTTAGTGTTCACATTTGCACCCAGCGGTAGTGTTGCCCCAAGCCCCTGTAGTTTATCCCTCAGAACTTGCACCTGCACAAATGGCTTCCCAGGAGTCCCTTTGCGTGCGGGAATACCCAGAGGCATGGGACCGTGCAGACATGTTAGCACACGGCTACCTCGGTAGCAGGAGAACCAAGTGGGTTATCTGGCAATCTTTCATGCCTGGGTGGCCTTCTTGAACGCTGCTCGTGCAGTAGTAGCTGCGAAGCTTTGTAAACCAGCTGTAATGCAACGTGGTCCCTTGCCATACGGTCGTTAACACCCGAGTGAGACTCCCGCGGTGGCTGGCAGCGCTCGCGCCCCGCGTTCCCGCGGCGGTGACCGTGCGGTGCCACGTTGTGTCGCGCAGGGCGAGCGGCTGAGCCACGCCGTGGGCTGCGCCTTCGCGGCGTGCCTGGAGCGGAAGCAGAAGCGCGAGAAGGAGTGTGGGGTGACGGCCACCTTCGATGCCAGCAGGACCACGTTCACGCGAGAGGGGTCCTTCCGCGTCACCACCGCCACCGAGCAGGCCGAGAGGGAGGAAATCCTGAGGCAGCTGCCAGACGCTAAAGGTACGGGGGCGGCCTGGTCGGTCTGGAAGCAAGCGGAACCCGCGCTGAGGCAAACCGCAGCCTGCTCCAGAGCTGCGGGGTGACTTCCGTTCGGAATTCCCTCTCCATAGCCTCGATATGTACAGATCACACTCCCAAATGCCAGGTCGTTTCACAAGATGGCGGCTCCCAGATTCACTCCTAGTGCATTCTCCCATATCTCCTTTGGAAAAAGTGCGAGTGCCTTCATATGTGAGAGCAGCTGGGCCCAGCTGCTCCTGCTTCTTTTTTTTTTTTTTTTTTTGGTAGTCTAAAGCCTGTGGGAAATTAACAGAAATCGTTATGGTTTTTTTTCTTAACAGAAATTATGGTGTAGTTTTATTTCAATTTTAAGGCAGATTACAAAGTTTATTTTTAGCATTAGACTGCATGAAGGAAGACCAGGTCAATCGGAGTGCCTTCCGTAAGAAACAGTAAGAAAATCAACAGTGCCTGTTCTGCTAAATTCGAAAATAATTGCTGGTCAATTGAGAGGAGTTAATTCTACTTCATAACCATTTAAAATGCAAACTGTTCTCAAATTCAGGTCAGCATAGAAGGACTTCTTACCCAAATGTTACTATAGATGGTAGAGTTTTTAAGACTACCAGAATATACTTAAAGTAAATACTGTCTATAACTCATCTTACAGATAGAAGTGAAGTGCTTTGGAGGCTTCCACAGCATTTTTTATACTGCCACTGTATTGCAAAACTTTAGCCTTCATTTTCATCATCCCTCTGCTTGTTCCCATATGTTAGTTTTAGAATGTGCTAAATGGAGCTTAAACGCGAGGGCCTTTGTCACTCGAGGCCATGAGTCAAAGCCCTGCCTCAGGGAAGGTGTGAGACCCCTTCCAAGGAGGACTGATTAGAGAAGTTCCTCTTGAACAAGCAGCTGCAACTCGTGGGCGCTGAAGTCTGCAGGGCCGCGTAATTGGTTCCTCTGACCGTTCCAGCTCCTCACATATCGCCAGAGTCTACTCTGGTTATTCTGCTGATGTGTCAGCAACTCATTGTTTTCCCTAAGAAGTTTGGAAAGCAATATAATAAGCTAATAAGTTCACCCTAGGATAGCAGAATTTCCCCTTCTCTCCCTCTGTCTGTTGACCTATTTTAATATAAAAGCTGTGTGTGTTGCATCCAGAGCTGATGTGCCTATGCCTTGAGCTAAAGTCAGTGTTCCTAGAGACAGAGAAATCCCATCCCCTAGGTTTCCACCATTAGGCCTGTTTGACCAAAGCCTTGTGGTTCTACACAGAACTCTGCAAAATGAAGCAGCTGACTTGAAACTGCAGTTTCCAGTGTAACTAACCAGTGGCTGCCTAATAACATTACAACAAAATCACTGCAAGAGGTGCCACAGGATCTCCTTGTCACGCGAAGGCAGCGGGTGTCCATCCCGTGGGCTGGTGTTGCCTGCAGCGCGTTTCCACGGGATCGGTTCCGATTCCGTGGAGGAAGCGCGGAGCTGCTGCTGGAGCGTGGGGTGCAGTCCAGCCTGTTTGGAGCTGCCCTTGGCCTGCCGAAGTTCGGCAGGGGGTTTGACTCCTGCTGCGGATTCTGCAGGGCTAGGAGGGCACCTTGTGAGAGAAGGTCCGAGAGCTGGATTCTCTTCCCTGCAGCTGCTGAGCTCATTAACTGAATATGGGATTTGGACAATAAGCTGTTCTTCTTCCAGTTCTCAAGGAGGCAAAATAAAGGAATTTCCCAAGACACTTTTCAGTTGGATTCATAAATAGTGGGTATTTCTAGAGCAGTGGCCTCAGCAGTAGCTAAAGGCAGGCATACGAGGCCGTCATTTCTGGGAGCTGGCTGGCCCCTCCAAGCTTTGCTTCGGAGGCTGGGTGGCTGGTGGAGGGGCGCGATGCAGATAACGAAGGTATAAAGAGCTGCAGTATTGGGGACTCTTTTGTGGATGATGCAGATTCCTGCAGTTTCTCTTCCCAAAACAAAATGGGGGTGAGGGGAGGGCATGCAGCAGAACAATACTTGGCTTTACTTGTCTAACCTCGCTCTCCTTCCCCCCTCAGCTGAGCCAGAAGTGAAGGCAGCAGCCCTGAGCGCTGCCCCCGCCACCACGGCCCCCTCTCCCGGCTCGCCGAGCTCCCCGCCGGCCGACGCGGCCGCCGCGCTGGAGAAGGAGGCGAGCAACCCGCACGCCATCCCGCGGCGGCACGCGCCCATCGAGCAGCTCGCCAGGCAGGGCTCCTTCCGCGGCTTCCCGGCCCTCAGCCAGAAGATGTCTCCTTTCAAGCGCCAGCTGTCGCTGCGGATAAACGAGCTGCCTTCCACGGTGCAAAGGAAGACCGACTTCCCCATGAAGAACTCGGGTAAGGCCGAGGGGTTCAAGTGCAACGTCAAACTTGTGTTGTCTCTTCCTCCCTTCCTCTGCTGGGACTCTAAGCAACTCACTAGTAAATCTTCCTTCCTGCCCCAGTGCAGATCATTTCTCACCAACAGACAGACTTTTTTTCTGACCTGGCATTACTAGCTTGGGAACATGCAAGGATTTCCAATACAATATTCACATGTAGAAGACAAGCAGCTATAATCTGTATTTGAAACATGGAAGTGGTGCAGGAGTAGAGGTTGGTGATTTAGTAGGTGCTGTTCTTTCCTCTGAGTCACTGAACCAGTTCCTCAGCAAATGCCAGAGTGTCTTGACAGACAAACCCCTCCAAGGCCTTAACCGCTTGTCATGGGATCCTGTGACATTTTTCCTCATGTCTGTCCTTCCGTCTTTCTGAAATCCTCCTTTTAAGAGCAGTGAAAGCTCTTTACACCTCCTTAGGTTTAGTAACTAGTGCTTAGTGGGTATAAACAGCTGTATCAGTAACGTGTGGTGCCATTTTTCACGATAGCTGTGGGATTTTATAGATTCATCCCCACGTAAACATCTGGGGTGATTAATACCTTGCATAATGTCCTACAATCTCTTCAGCTAGGTCAGCCTGTAGGACAGCTGTGCTGTCATTTGGCAACAGAGACAGTTTTAAGGTTCCAAGCTTTAAAATGAAAATTACTGCAGCAAAGATGGAAACACCACCAATATCTCATCTATTTCTCTCTTGATTCTTATTTGGTAGCCCGTACAGTGAGACCGGCATTGAGCTAATGAATGTAATGCTAGTGCTGCATTGCTAACAGAAGTGGTGCTGATGGAGCACACACTGATCTGAATTTATTCTGAGGATGTTCCCATGTAAGCAGCTGCCAGTGCTGCCTACTGTCACACTACAGGCATTTTACTGGAAGATCCCTCAAAGAATTGATTTTGGGGAATGCTTCATGCTGAACCTTAGGTACACGTCATACCACTCATCCTGTGCTTCTTTTTTAAATATATGTGCTTATTGTGTCACTTCTGGGCAATGAAGGACTGCTAATCAGCACTTTTCGAAAGCAGTGCAATTAAAACTAATGAAAACATCTGGTAAGTCAGCAGTTGACTCCAAATGTCCCTGTATCCACACTATACTGGTATGTTGAGTTTGAAACTGAGAGTGTCCATTCATTTGATCGTTAAGCCCTTGTTTTCCCTAATTGTGAAATGGGAGCAAGGGCTCCAGGCTGCTGCGGTCCCGGGGCAGTGCACGCTCTGCCTGCAGCCTCGCCGTGCCCGCGTGCTGCTGGCACACACCACGTTTAAAGCCCAGGTGGCCCTGTGGGAGGGCGCTCCCGGAACAGCTACATCGATCCCCATCACAGAATGCCCAGTCTTAGTGCCAAGTCCTTGATGCATTTAGCACTTTTTTCAATACCAAAAGATTTAAGACTCTATTAAAGCTATTGAAAAGCCTTTCATTTTCTTTCCTGAACATCCTCTTTCAGCAACAGAGGAAATCAGCTATAACTGACTTCAGTTCTGGAACTCTTTTCTCTTTAGCTTAAGCAATACACTAACATGGCTATTTCTACCACCTGATCTTCACCGCAAGTTTAAAAGAACCTGCCATTCAAATCGATAGAAAGAGCACCTGGGAGCTAGCAGAACTAATTATATTTTAACTTAACATCGGTATTTGTAACATTTCTGTTTCCCTTAGACTTCCAGTGTCATTATTATTTGTTTGTTTTCCCAGTCCCCGAGGTAGAGGGGGAAGGCGACAGCATTAGCTCCCTTTGCTCTCAGATCACCAGCGCTTTCAGCACGCCCGCCGAAGACCCCTTCTCTTCAGCCCCCATGACAAAGCCACTCACAGCAGTTGCCCCGCAGTCTCCGGCCTTCCAAGGTTTGTGATCTCTCGGCCTGCGCGAGGGCATGCTGAACGAGGCTTGAGTGCACATCATGTTGCTTCCCTGTAGCACATTGTCTTCATGTGTCTTGTGTAGTCCTGTCTCTAGATTTTGGAGGAATGCACCCTGCTTTATTCATCTTGTCTGCTGATTTTTTTTCCTGTATTTTTGTTCTTAATCTTTCACTAAAAGTTCATTCATGCACCTGCCACACAATAGTTACCTGTCAAGGGGCCTGGCTTTGAGATAATGGCAATGTAGCATTCTGCCTACTGAAGTGTAGTAACCTTAGTGTCATAGGAACAAAATCCCACAAGGCTGGAAGCCTGTGAGCTCCCACGTCACTGCTGCTGTTCACACGTGGAAGCACTTGGATAAGCTGGGGAGAGATGCCAGCTCTAGAATTGCTAAGAGCCTCTGAGCTCTGGTCCACTGACCATGAGCATTTGCTTTTTATCCAAAAGTAGTGTGAGAAACCACCCTGTTAAATGTAGCTACTGTTACTTAGCATCTATAGTTTGTTCTTCCTTTGAATCTAAAACTAAGCCTGTAACTTCTGGTGTGCCATATCCCTATAAAACCCGCAAATTTCGCTTCAGTGTGAAGCAGGTATCAGCAGAATGCCAGCTCTCATCAAGGACACAAAACCCACCATCCCACAGTTCAGTTAACAAGAGTTGCCTTGGTGAGAAGGAATTTCCTGGCTTTATCAACTCTCAGTTCTGCTCAGCAATTTACACTGGCCACAGCCCTGCCTGAGCGTGGTGTGTGTTGACAGGCACGACCTGGCCCACTGCTGTCCCATCACACGCATGCCTTGCATGAATTAATTGCACTGATGTTGTCTGCTCCCATTTTAGTTAATGGCACTGCCTCTGCCTTCTGTGTGCTTGCTGCTAAACCATCCCAAGCTGCTGTAGTGCCCACGGTTATGCCGGTTCGGGAAACCAATCCTTGGGCTCATGCTCCTGCCGCTAGTCCTGGAGCTGCGGCTTTGGCCTCGGGTAAGATGGGATGTAGACGCTGTGCGTTTCTGTGAGCACTTGGATCAGGAGCGTGATGGAGCCCTCGGGAGAGCTGCCGATGCCACTTAATGCAGAGTGGAAGGAAGAGGGACAAAGGGCGGAAGTAGTAGCCATGCGCGCGAGTGGATGGAGGGAAGCGGTGACCGTGCTGCTGCTGGGTCTATAAGCTGGCCCTGTCTAAAATCTTGGCAGCTTTTTAGAAAAGCCGATGCTTAAAAGGGAAGTAATGAAATAAATAGTGTGTGTTTGGGGAGGAAGGGGAAAGAATCTGCATACCCAAAATAAAGGGGGGGGCGGGGGGGTGCAGGTTGTGCGCGCGCGCTCCAGCAAAGCCAAACTAAGAAGGGAAGCGACTGTCAGGTACTTCTTAAAGGTTTTAGAAGTTCATGTCTTCTGTTTGATAAGCTAAGTCTGGACCTGCAGTCCTTGTCTCTATTTGCATACACTGCGAGGTGGGAATTTAAATGGCTGTCACCCATGTGGCTTCCTATGCTAGAAGGCTGCAGCATTTCATGGCGAAAGCTCAGCAAGAAAAACGCAGCCTCACTCGTGACCGAGGGTCTGGCCTTGTGAGGGGGCCAGGCCCGCCATAGACATGAGACCCACCCAAGCTCAGCTTCCAAGAGCTCCCAGTGACAAAGCAGCAGCAACTGACTTGTTAGGTGCAGTTTAGCCAGTCTCTGTCACTGGCTTAGCTCAAGAGTACTGAGCAGTAATGATGCTGCGCTGCTGCCAGACACCAAAGAACACAGAGCTGCAGAGCTGCAGCCTGGCACGCCTGGCTGCTCTGCTCATCACACTGGAAAGTTGGTGCAATCCAGAAAAGAGGCAAAAGAGAACCTAAAACAGTGTGGAGAAGGCAGCCGAGAGTTGAGCTGATGGTTGTGAACTGTGGGAGGAATGGTGATGAGGGTGATTATTATTATTATTTTTGTAATGGCTGAAGACAGATAACAGCAGAGCTGTTTTTATAGGAAAAAATCTGACCTATTAAGTGTTGAACATTGCAAAAGAATTAGAGAGGTTAACAGCCCAAGTTGCACGTGGAGAGAGTGAGGAGAGAGTGGAGAGGAAGGACGAATATAAACAAGGGAGTCAGTGTAAGTACAGTTTACGTATAGTGTAATTTGATAGATTTACTTCCTTAAATGTTCATGTATACGGTAGGAAGTGCCCATCCTTCACTTTGACGCATATGTCGCAACAAAATGAATGTTGTCTTAACTCCTAATACAAGAAAAGCCCTCATCTAGGCCACAAGGCACGGCGCCTTAAAAACTGGTTCTTTCCAGTTCTGCATTCTGACAGTGCAGCAGTCCTGGGCTGCACCTTCGGAAAGGGCCCCTCCTCGGCCGGAGGAAGCAGCAGCTACGGCCTGGGTCACTGCAGCTCCGCAATGCCGAGGGCCCCGCTGCGGCCTCACCCTCGCAGCAGGCTGCTGTAGAAAGCGAAGCCTGGGGGTGCAGGGCGGCAGGGCCGTGCAGGGCAGCCCTATCCTGGGCACGGGGACAGGGGAGGTGCTTCCCCGCGCAGCGCAGGGAGGGAGCCGGGCTGCCCCGCTGCAGGAGCGGCCCTGACGCACCCCCCTCTCCTTGGCAGGACCCGAGTGGAGCGGCTCCTCAGCTGCAGCCTCCCCCAG